ACTGTGGGCTGCGCTAGCGGCGTATTTGTCTGATTTATTGCACTGTCCACATATTCCCGCTCCGTAGTTCCGGGCCCAGGCTCGTCGCTAGCCGTCTTTCGCGATCCGCTCTCAGCTAGCTCCGAAGAGCTCCCCAGAGCCATTCTTGGAAGCGGCCCCTCTACACCCGCCCCTCCTCCAGGACCTTTCTTCCTCTCGTACCATGGTCGCAGGAGAGCAGCATTCACCCAACGTTTCATTCCTCCGCAGTCGATTAAGAAGTTGCCCGCTTTCTGGTCGATAATGGTGTAGGGGCCTTTCCAGCGTTCTCTGAACTTGCTTGCGCCCGGCCCGTCATGATCCGGCCGATCGTTGTTTCGTAACTTGACTCGTTCTCCAATCCTGAATGGCCTCCACTTGTGAGCCTCATGCCTGGCGTCGTAATTTCGCTTATTCCGCGCTTGTCGGGCTTTGGTTTCGCTTCTAGCTTTCCATCGCAGTCGCTCTTGATGCTCAGCTGGATGTTTCCACTCACCCTGGTTCGGTAGGCAAGTATCGAGCGCAATCCGTGGTTCTCTGCCGAACAGTAATTCGAATGGCGAGACCTTGGTGGTTGATTGCATGCTGGTCCGATACGCGATCAGAACCTGAGGCAAAGCATCTTCCCATGCCAACTTTGTGCAGTTTATCCACGTCTTCAATGTCCGGTTGAACCGCTCGGTCATGCCGTTGGTTTGTGGGTGGTACGGTGAGGTTCGCCGTCTCTGGATGCCCCACTTGTCCAACACTGACTTAAACGCTCTTGACTCGAAGCAGGGCCCTTGGTCCGTGATGATACACTGTGGGATCCCATACCGTGCAGGCACATTGAATTCGAATACTTGCGACACTGTCTCGCCTGTTTGGTCCTTGATTGGTATGGCTTCCACCCATCGAGTGAAGTGGTCAATCATCACTAGAATGTATCTGTTTCCTGTTCGACTCACTGGTAAGGGCCCAAAGACGTCCAGTCCCCAACACTGAAGTGGCTCACCAACCTCCATCGATCGCATCGGCGGTCTCGGGGACTCCATCTCCCGACTCGTTTGGCAGTTTGGGCACTCCCGAAGGTATGTCGCGACGTCCTTCCTCATGGTTGGCCAAAACACTCGCCTCCGCAGCAATTCAAAGACCCGCTCGAATCCCATATGGGCGCCATCATGAGTTATGCGCATCACACGTTCTCGCTGATTTGGTGGAACAAAAAGGCACTTTCCGTCCGTCCATCGCCACCACCACGTTATCGTTTTCGACCTTCAACCTGTCCCAGATCTTGAGGCGTTCCTACACCTCCTCTTATGTATCCTCCGGTTTGGTGCCAGCCCGTAAGTGAGAGCACAACACCTTCACGAATTCATCTGTCCTTTGATCTCCCAGCAAGTTCCTCTCCCCCATCGCGATCGCACGCACCGGTATGGCATTGTCTGGCATGATGTCGTCCAACACGGGCGTGACAACATATCTGGCAATACATTCTGCGTTCCATCCACGTGCTCAATGGTGAAGTTGAATTCCTGCAATCGGTAGGCCCATCGCGCAAGCCGTCCCCGCGGGTCTTTCGCCGTCATCAACCACGAGAAGCGGTTTGTGGTCAGTGACGACCCGGAATTCATTCGCCAGTAAGTAATTTCTCCACTTCTCTAAAGCCCACACGATGGCCAAGCATTCTTTCTCCGTTGTTGAATACTTCTGTTCCGCCCCAGTCAGCACTCTGCTCGCGTACCTCCACCACCCCCAGCCGGTTGAGACAAAACCGCACCGATGGCCACGTTGCTTGCGTCGACAGCCACAGTGAACATCTCACCAGGATTGGGTAGCCGTAGACATGTCGGGGCTTCTGCTATGCCTGCCTTTAGATGGTCAAAGGCCTGATCCGCTTCAGCTGTCCACACGAACGCGCACGTCCTTGCGAAGCAGCTTAAACAACGGCCTAACCCTCTCTGAGAACTGGGGCACGAACTTTGACTCATATGCCACCACTCCCAAGAACGAACGGAGCTGACGCTTGGATTTTGGTTTTGCGAAGCACTTGATCGTCTCGCGTTTCTCCGGAAGTGGATGGACTTGACCATTGCCCCACGATATGACCCAAGCATACAATTGACTTTTGGGCAATCTGCGACTTTTTACGACTGAGTTTCAGACCAGCTTCATCTAGCCTCTGCAGTACTGCTCCAAGTCTGGTCACATGTTACTGTTCCGTCTCAGAGAAGACGATGATGTCATCACCGTACACAACCACGCCTTGCAGGTTCGCGAGGACCATCAGCAACAAACGCCTGAATGTAGCCGTGCGTTGCACAATACAAACGGCATTCTCAAAAACTCATACTGCTGGCCATTGACACTGAAAGCCGTCTTGTGGCGATCTTCTTCTGCGATCGGCAGTTGCCAATATCCCGAGCGGAGATCAATCAGAGATATCTGCTTCGCACTGTGAAGGCTTGAGGAAAATTTCTTCCATCTGAGGCATCGGGAATGCATCCTTCACAGTCACCCTGTATAGTTCTCTGAAATCGATGCAAAATCGATAGGTTCCGTCGGCCTTCTTCGTCAATAGCACGGGTGATGAATACGGGCTGTGCGTTCGCCTGATGATTCCTTTCGATTCCATCTCGGTCACCTGCTTCTGTATCTCCACCAGGGTGTTCTGTGGAATTCGTCTGAAGATTGGCTTGCATTGTCCTCCTGGGATCAACGGTATTCGGTGTTCAACCCAATTGCAAAATCCGTAATCATCTTCCGCGTCTGTGAATAAGTGGGCATACCTGCTCAGTACGTTGCGTATTGCACGGTTCTGACAATCAGGCACGGCTTTGAGGGCACCAACCCGGTCGGTTCTCCCCTTGTTTATCTCGATCGTCTCGTTAGCCACGATCACCCACATCGTGTTTCCGGTCAATTGTGACACGAGCCGTTTCAGGATGTCGGTTCCGATGATGGTTTCGGTCGTCTCCTCCACGATGAACATGTCATGGCTGATGAGCGTTTCTCCTATCCTGATTCGTAACCGCTGCGTGCCCGTCACTTTCAAAGAATGCCCGCCGACCGTCTGCATCGTGATTGAAGATAGGTTTACTGGAACCCCATTGAACCTCTTCGTAATTGACACTGCCGCTCCTGTGTCTACTATGGCTCGGACAGACACACCTTCTATAGTTACCTGGAGGACTGGTACTCGCCACCGATTCGGCATGGATAGAGAGAAACAATGGGGCACATTGACGTTGGTGCAGAATCTCGCCACATGACCATTCTGGTTGCATCGGAAACAGCGGCGACCGTTCCGGATTACCCGTACATTGCGTTGTGAAGTGGTGCTTGAAGACTCTATCGACAACAGCTGCTCCACCATTTCGGAAAGGCGATTTACTTTCTGTTCCAACTCAGCATGCTGGATGCTTCTCACTGTCCACTCGTTCCGACAAATTCTGGGCGACCGTCACCAGATCCAACGCTTTGCTGTCTCCCACCAGCAACGCCAATTTCACCTGATCATGGAGTGGACCGGGCAGACTTCGGATAAACTGCTGTTTCAGTAGGCGCTCTCTTGCTTTGCCCTCTAACTCGGGAGCCCAATCGTTAGATGTCTGTCCAGCTGCTGGAAAAACACCATCAAATCCTCCTGTTCGTCCCCATCTGGCTGCGTGAAATCGTTGCAGTGCCCGTTCTGTCTCCAGATCCTTCCCAAATTCTGCACACAACGCAGCCCTCATCTCAGCGAACGAACAACCGGGTTTGGCCTTTCGAGTGAGCAAATACACCGCCTTGGCTCGTCCACTCAACCGTGTGCCCAAAGCAATTAGCAAATTTGCATCCCCCCTCACACCCGCGCAAGCCGCAATTCCGTCGAACTCATCGAGCCACGCCTCCACGTCACCGGCCGCAAATTGCTCCAAACGGGTCAACTCCATCGCGATTGGTCACGGCACCAGTGTAGCGAGAACGACAAGACAGGGGGGTAGACGTTTATTGCACACCGAAAATGGGCACATGAGGGTCTCGCGCGCGCCCTCGAATATCGACTAGATTTCCGTCCCACCACGCAACACAGGTACGGATGTTAGAGACGTGGCCAGTCCTTTCGCCTCGGGAGCTCTGACTTGGAAGATCCGCCTTCCTGTTTTCGCCTCGATCTCCGCTTCTCTGCACCCGATTTGGATCGGCCAGGAGTCGTTCGAGAGCTCTCGACTTGCTTGTTCTGGGCTGTGTCAATCGGCTCGGCCTCGGTCCTGTGGGCTGCGCTAGCGGCGTATTTGTCTGATTTATTGCGCTGTCCACATATTCCCGCTCCGTAGTTCCGGGCCCAGGCTCGTCGCTAGCCGTCTTTCGCGATCCGCTCCCAGCTAGCTCCGAAGAGCTCCCCAGAGCCATTCTTGGAAGGGGCCCCTCTACACTATGACCAAAAAATTCAACCAACGGTTTACCTAACGCAC